AATTTCTTTGAAATTTTCAGGGATAAAAGGTCTTGATAAGAATTTTATATAAAATTCCGTTTTTTGGTAAATTCGGTTCCAGTGCCAAGTTATGGACAATTTCCTGATTTTAAAATGAAATTTTGTCCTCGAAGGATCTAAGAAACGGCTAAAGATATGAACTGGAGACTTGTTAGAGATGATAGACCATGACTTTTAGATGTTCGAAATTACCTTGGTTTTCGTCGTCAGTACTTCCGGTCGTCACCGGAAGTGTTCAAAGAAATCGAAAATTTCAACTTTTCTTTTTTAAATTAAATCTTGCATCACATTATTGCAACTCTTTCGCAGTTTCGAAATATGTTGATCCCACCGGAAACAAAAACGACAACTTCCGGTTATAAGAGAAAAACTACATAATTTGAGTATTTTACTTTCCCATAAATATCTTTTATAGGTAAAGTATTTGAAATGATTTTTAGATATGTTATTCATATTGCAAATGTCTAGAGTAACCTCAAATATCTTTGCAAAATTCACTTCCGGTCGCGTGTTTTTTCTGTCCTCAAAGTGAGAAAATATCTTAGCGAGATCTCTAAAACGGTAAGAGATTAAGACAACAAACTCATATGAGTAATAGACCTTGAAGAGTAGGCAAAATCCTTTGCGTTAAACCGTCAGCCGTCACTTCCGGTCGACACAGGAAGTGATAAAAAAAATCAAAAAATTCAACTTTTCTTGTTTAAATTAAAACTTGCATAACCTTATTGCATCTCTTTTGCTGTTTTGAAATATGTTAGACTCCTCCGGAAACAAAAACGTCAACTTCCGGTGTTAGGAGATAAAATACGTTATTTCGATATTTAACTTTCTCATAAATATCGCTTATAGAAAAAGAATTGAAATGTTTTAATACATGTTGTAGATACTGCAATGTCTAGAGAATCGTAAGAGATTTTTTATAAAATTCACTTCCGGTCGCGTGTTTTCCTGTCCTAAAAATTAGAATTTGTTTTCACTATTGCTCGGCAACAATAAATGACCGAAGTCTGAAACTCTCAGGACTGATAGTACGTCAGTAGTTTATTTGCATCGTTTGAAAATCGTGTCGCCGTTTCTTCCAGTCGTGACTGGAAGTGATGCAAAAAAGTGAATGGTTAATGGTTAGCACGTTGGATTTTCACGCTGACGACCAGGGTTAAATCTCCAGAATGTCTGAATTTCTTTTATCACTTTTTCAGCTTGAATGTTCGTTTTTATTTTCAGAATCGGACGGAAGACCTCTCATTGCTTGCAATGAGTTTCTAGTTATTATTATTAGGGTCTTCCGTCTCCAACGGAAGACCCTTCTATTATTCTATTGTTTCTTTTTCACTTTTATTATTATTATTATTCTTTTTTTTTCTTTACAATTTTTGTGCAGAAGATTTCTCGGAGTTGGCTCGATCGATTTACTTGAAAATTTCAGGGAAGATGTATCTTTGTCTGAACCTTATACGTTTTTCTCATTTTTTTGAAATTCACTTCCGGTCGGAAGTTATCGCCCTTTAATCAAAATTCAGAGGACCTTCTTGTCTGCAATGGAACTCAAAAACGATTAAAGCTAGAGTGCTGAAATTTTCAGCGATGATAGAGGACATGTTGCCATTGATCACCTGGGTTTTCAAATCTTCCGGAAGTGCCTAGTATGGAAGCTCGGTAGGGGTCAAAATTTAGGACACGAATCATGAGTGAATTTTAGAGACATTTCTTACGATAACTTTTTAACTATGAGTATTTTGTTAAAACATATTGAACAGAAATTGTGTAGAATTACAAGATCTTTTATATGATATCAAAGAAAAAGGGCTGACTCATCACATTAGGGGCTGAGAAGGGCCAAAAGTCTTTAATCAATAACTCTTTAACAATCAATATTTTGTAATGCATTACTGAAGCAAAAATGTTTATCTCAACAATTTACAACTATATATTATGATATTCACATCATATGTTACATAATTAAGGGCCATAAGGGGCCAGAATGCTAAATCTTTGACGCTTTATATCTCAAATGTGGGAAATATTTTGATAAGCAATATTGAACAAAAGATGTCCAAAATAATGTTCTAAACAAGATGCAACCTTTCATTTTTTGCTAAACGTCCCCATTAAGGAGTTGAAGGGCCGGCCCCTAAATACTTCTTTTGTAAATATCTCAGAAACGAAAAAGAATTTCTGACTAGTTGTTGAACAAAAAGTGTTCAAAATCATAAGAGCTTTAAAGAGATATGAAGAAAAAGGGGCTGGACCCTCACAATAGGGGCTGAGAGGGGCTGAAAGTCTTTGAACAATAACTCTTTAACGATCAATATTTTGTAATGCATTACTGAAGCAAAAATGTTTATCTCAACAATTTACAACTATATATTATGATATTCACATCATATGTTACATAATTAAGGGCCATAAGGGGCCAGAATGCTAAATCTTTGACGCTTTATATCTCAAAAGTGGGAAATATTTTGATAAGCAATATTGA